ACTAAACTAAGCCTCATAAAGAGGACAGGTAGGTTTAAAAACATACCTGCAGGGAGACCTTGCAGGTTATAAATACAAGCCCAAGTAAACAACAAGAAAATAGCCAACACATTATGAGATACACGAGGGCGGCCGAAGTTTATGTGATCATTTTCCCCCTGGCTTGTTTAATTATTAATTTATTTACCTTCTTCTTTAAAAAAAAAATTGAAATATAATTCCCACGCCATAATATCCACCCTTTTAAAAGCATACAATTCGCTGGTTTTAAGTATATTCACAAAGTTGTGTAATCATCACTACAATCTAATTTCAGAACGCTTTCGTCACCTCAGAAAGAAGCCCTGTGCCCCTTTGCACTACAAATTCCTGCCTCCCTTTGGCCCTTAACCAGCTGCTGTTGAATTGATCCCGACTCCTGGCGACCCAGAGTGTGTCAGAGCAGAGCTGTGCTCCATGGGATTTTCAATAGCTGGTTTTTGTAATAATCTTCCCTGCAACACAGCTTGGGGTTCTTGTCGGGAAGTGTCCCAGCCACGGATCATTCATGGGAAACGGAGGCCTAGTTTTCATGGAGTCTTAGTTTCTCATTTGTAGGCTTCTGTGCTGTTGAATGACGCTACAGTATTCTGTGTTACGGGATTCAGAGGCCTTTGTATACGGAGATCTTAATTCCTCCCCCAATGTGGACTTGGTTTGGTTATGAAATCTCTTCTGACCTCACGGGGAGCTACTTTGTGCTCCCTCTGTAAGTGGGCCGGTGGTTTTCCCCCAGGGCAGAGAGGGTTGTAACCTGCTTCAGTGGCTACCACATCTGTTTTTGTTTTCCCCTGGTATTTTTTAAGTAAGAAGAAATGTGTGTAGGTTAAAGGGCCTATGGGGAGGAGGCTAGAGATAAACACTGTACAATGTGAAACTCTTCCATATGGGGAATGTGAGGGGGTTTGAAGAATGGGCCTAGTATTGGGCACTGCCCTAGCCCAGGCCCCTGGAATTATCAGTGCCTTATCGATACATGCAGATTAGCATTTGGCGTATGAGTCTTTTGTTGGAAAATTAAAAGGGAGAATATCATCATCATCATCAATGGTTATGACTGTCCTCCCCAAAACATCTCAGTAGAAAAGTGGAACAAGTATTAATTTAAGAGCGAAGTAAATGAACGTAGAGACATTAAACCAGTAGCCTGTGATGTTGACTGGGCTCTCCCCCGTGTCTTCTGATTGCTTATCCAATGATCTTTGTGAAAATTTGGCTATCTGTGTTTCTCTCTTGTTGTTGTTAGTTGCCATTGAGTTGGTTCTGACTCATGGCAACCCCATGTATAGCATAATGAAACATTGCCCAGTCCTGGGCCATCTTCATGATTGTTTGCATGTTTGAGTCCATTGTCCCAGCCATTGTATATCTTGAGTGCCTTTCAACCTAAGGAGCTCATCTTCCAGCACTATATCGGAAAGTATACTGTAGTAATCTACAGGGTTTTCACTGGTAATTTTTGGAAGTAGATTGCCAAGCCTTTCTTCCTAGTCTGTCTTAGTCTGGAAGCTCTGCTGAAACCTGTCCACCATAGGTGATCCTGCTGGTATTTGAAATACTGATGACATGGCTTCCAGCATCATAGCAACACGCAAGCCACCACAGTAAGACAGACTGACAGACAGGTGGTGGCTATTTCTTTAGTGTTGCCTTTTTACCTTGCTCTGGAGTTGTTTTGCCTGGAATACAAAAACCAAAAGCTCTGGGTTGTCTGGCAGTTGAAATATTAGTGGAAGTATTTGACTTCTGTCGACATGAAATTAGACTGCTTAAGCACAAAGTCCAAGAGTTTGTCAAGGATGCCCTTAATTCGGCCTATGGCATTTCATTCAAACCCAGTGTTACTAAAGCTTGTCAACCAGAGCAATTACTTTGTCAGAGGTCTTGTTATTGGCCCTAATGTTAAGTAGTAATTTGGTCCAGGTGCCGAGGTATGGGGGTAAAAACAGACACGCATCCTTAGCTAGAACATAAATCACAGAACTTTACCAAAAAAATTTTTTTCTTGATTTAGTCTACCCTGTAGAGAGAACCATTCTGTAGATCTCCCATCCTCTTCATAATTTTAGAGTTACATTCTTTATAATTAAAAGCACTTGGCAGAAAATGATTCATTTAAACTGGAGTTCTGATTCATTACTCTAATTATTGTTGCCATGCCATGCCCTTTGGCCTGGAAGTGAAACTCGTGTCCTCTTGACACCAGAGGTTAACCGAGCAGGAAGTCAGAGCCCAGTGTGTCCTCACTGTGACCAGTGTAATTTAGTAATTGTCTAACTACCTGAGGAGTCTATGCCACTACTAAAAATAGTATTAAAAAATGAAATGAAAGTGATTTTCTTGCTTCTCGCAACCCATCTGGTCTCTATTTTGGGCAACCATATGTTCGTGGGTATAAAACGTAATTCATTCTGAACGATCCGATAGCTTCTCTTCTGTTGGATAAAATACGTTTTTAATGGAACAGACAATCCAGTAACTCTGTAAACATTTCTAGCTCCCGGGATTCATTAGCCATAGAGGCAGTAAGACAATGTATTACAGGCGATCCTTTGATCAAAACTGTAATTTAAAATCTAGAACTGATGTTGGGCGATTTGATATCTATTTCTTCTTGGAAATGGGAAAAAAAAAAAAATCATGTCAGGTGAGGACTCCCCACCACCAACTCCGGGAATATTAAGTTATTAATTTGTTCATTGACTGTGCAAATATCTATTGTGTGCCAGGCACTGTCCTAGGTCCCAGGAATAGAACGATGAATAATAGGCAACTCTCTGTTCTCAGAGGAGAGTGAATCATCAGGTAAACAAGCCGGTTTTAGTCAGTGAAGACTATTAGCATAATGCAGGATTTACAGTTGAGAGAAAAGTGAGGGATCACCTGAATTTGGGGACACAGGGAAAGCCTCTTGAGGAGGTAACATTTAAATTGAGACCTGATTGACCAGAGGGAGAGAGCCAGCCCTACAGAGATCTCAGGATGGTGTTCCAGACAGAGGGCATAGCAAGTGCAAAGGCCCTGAGGCAGGAAGGAGCTTATTTGTTGCTGTTAGATGCTGTCAAGTCGGTTCGGACTCCTAGCGACCCCATGTACAACAGAGCGAATCGCTGCCTGGTCCTGCTCCATCTTCACGTTTGTTGCTATGTTTGAGCCCATTGTTGCTGCTGTGTCAGTCTGTTTCATTGAGGGTCTTCCTATTTTTCACTGACCCTCTACTTTACCAAGCATGATGTCCTCCTGCAGGGACTGGTCCCCCTTGATAACATGTCCAAAGTACGTGAAATGAAGTCTCACCATCCTCACTTCAAGGAGCATTCTGGCTGTACTTCTTAGGAAGGAGCTTGGCCATCTTCAAAGGACAGAAAGGAGGCCAGTGTGGCTAGAACAGAGTGAACGAGGAGGGAGGTGGCCTGCGGGGAGGCTGGGAGGTGGAAAAGGCTGATTAGGCGGGCATCTGGATTTTATTGAACAGTAACAAGTGAGCTTTTCCAGTAGTCTTATTTTTTTTTTTTTTTTTAATATCTCAAGGCAGTGGAGCCCTTTCCTCAAAGGAAAGGCTAACGGCCCCTGATATGTAACACAGGTAGGAACGGGGCTGCTTGCTGTCATCTCCTAGCCACCCCACACTTCGTGGTACTGAGTGGGTTTCTGGGGATTCTCGGGACTTAGTGTGGAGCGTGGGTTGGAAGCCATCGTTCTAGCCCAGTCTGCGTTTACAGCTGAGGAAACTGAGGCCCAGAGAGCAGATAGGACTCATTCGAGATCACATAGCTATTCGGCAGCCGATCTAAGAATAAAGCTCAGTCTTCCTAACCCTCCGTGCTCTTTTTACCATGTGGCTTGAGAACATTTTTCCAGGACTTATCCCGTTACCTAGCATGTAGAAGGCACTCAGTCATGTGTTGACAGGTATGAGTGGACAGATGGATGGAGGCTGTGTAAGCAGGGCAGTTACGTCTTAGGCAAGTGTTAGCATCTGAAGTTAGCGTGTAAGGCAGAAATTGAGCACAGCTAAAACTGTTGAATGTTCTTTATTCTTACCTTAAGCAGAGTTCTCGGTGCCATTTTGCACTACGTTCTACCCAGCTGCTTTTCTTCTGGTGTTAACTGATAGTTGTAACTTCCGTAGACTACCAGCTGAAGTTGTTGCCTTTGGTTTAACTAGTTGCCATGGAGTTGATTCTAACTCATGACGACCCCATGTGTGTCAGAATAAAATTGTGCTTTATAGGGTTTTCAGTGGCTAATTTTTCAGAAGTAGATTGCCAGGCCTTTCTTCCGAGGCACTTCTGGGTGGGCTTGAACCTCCAACCTTTTGGTCAGCAGCTAAACGCGTTACCCATTTGCACCACTCAGGGTCTCCCACGGTCATTATTGTAAACTAAGAAGAATGTACATTTGAAACAGTTGTTTTCAACCGGGGCGATTTCATTCCCAGGGGATGTAAGACCCCCTGTGTGTCTCATTAGGCAGGAGACATATTTGGTTGTCATAATGAGGGTGGGCGTACTACTGGCATCTAGCAGGCAGAGCTGAGGGATGCTGCTAAACGTGCTGTAGTGCACAGGATGGCCCCCACACAGAGAGTTATCTGTCTCAAATGTCAGTAGTGCTGAGGGTGAGAGCCCCTGGTCTAGACACCAGGTCCACTTTGAGTGCAGTGAGGTCCTCAGTCTGCTGGAGGCCCCTGGGGCCAGACACGATCACCCACATTCATTAATCTGTAATTTTTGTCTCTCTTTTTCTCTTTATTTTGATTATTTGGGGGCCAAGCATAAATGATTGAAACTGTGAAAATTAAATGTCATCTGTTGCAACGCCACTGTAGATGTACCTGAGAGTTATACTTGTAAGAGCAGTAGAAAGAAAAGCAGTTACTCCGCGTGCTTGTTCTTCTACACATTTCAGGCCCTTCCTTGTCTCTGCTCATCTTCCTTGTTCATTGCTTTCTCCTCCAGCAATCCCAGGACCCACCTGCCCAGAAGGGCCCCACACTCACCACCAAAGTCCGGCGCACCATGAGCAGCCGTGTGCATGAAGCCGTGAAGGCCATCGCCCTCTGCCACAACGTGACCCCTGTGTACGAGTCCAACGGCGTGACTGAGCAGGCCGAGGCTGAGAAGCAGTACGAAGACTCCTGCCGTGTGTACCAGGCGTCCAGTCCAGATGAGGTAAGCACCCAGGGCCCAGTACGTGAGGCACACAGAGGGCCCCTTCCCATTTACACCGGGGTTCCTAAGGAAGTGACGTGCCAGGGCAGATGGTGACTAAGAAACGGAAGTCAGGATGTAGCAGTGTCGTTAGGGAAACACGTTTTCAGATACACGAGGGAACGAATCTTCCTCTAAAGGAAGTAGTCGTGGACTTGGGGTGTGTCCTGAGTTAGGAAAGGGTAAGAGATCTTGTTTTGTGATTGAGACACACAGTACTTCGAGAGCACAGGTCCCATTTAAGCCACATACTTTTTTAAAAACAACTTTATTAAGATATAATTTACATACCACACAATTCACCCATATAAAGTGTATAATTCAGTGGTTTTAGTATATTCACAGATTTGTGCAACTGTGACCACAGTCAGTTTTAGAACCTTTTCATCACCCAAAAAAGAAACCCTGTACTCATTTCTTCCCTAAACCCCCCAGCCATCGGCAACCACAAATCTACTTTTTGTCCCTATAAACCTGTTGCCATCGATCCTGACTCATAGCGACCCTACAGGACAGAGTAGAACTGCGCCATAGGGTTTCCAAGGAGCGGCTAGCGGATTTGAACTGCCCACCTTTTGGGTAGCAGCCGAGCTGTTAACCACTGTGCCACCAGGGCTTCTCTGTCTGTATAGATTTGTTTGTTCTGGACATTTCATATAAATGGAATCATACATTATCTGACTGGTTTCTTCCACTTAGCATGTTTTCCAGGCTCATCATGTCGTAACATGTGTCAGTTCTTTATTCCTTTTTATGGCCAAATAGTATTCCATTGTAGGCATATACCACGTTTTGTTTATCCATTCATCAGTTGATGGACACGTGGGTTTTTTCTTTTTGGCTATCATAAATAATGTGGCTACGCACACTGGTGCACAAGTTATTGTGAGGACATATCTTTTTATTTCTCTTCGGTATATATCCAGGAGTGGAATTGTTGGGTCATATGGAAACTCTAGTGGCCAGACTGTTTTCCAGAGCAGCTGCACCATTTTATGTTCCTACCAGCAATGCATAAGGGTTTGAATTTCTCCGCCTCCTCCTTAACGCTTGTTATTGTCTGTCTTTGATTGAAGCTGCACCCGTGGGGGTGAAGTGCTATTTCATTGTGGTGTTTACTTACATTTCCCGAATGACTAGTGATGTTGAGCATCTTTTCCTGTGCTTATTGGTCATTTGTATATCTTCTGGAGAAATGTCTGTTCAGATCATTTGCCCATTTTCAATTGGGCTGTCGTTTTATTTTTAAGTTGTAAGAGTTCTTTATATATTCTTGATACAAGTCCCTTATCAGATACAAGATTTGTAAATATTTTCTCCTAGTCTGAGGCTTATCTTTTCACGTTCTTGCTGGTGTCCTTTGAAGTACAAAAGTTTTTAATTTTGATGAAGTCCAATAAGCCATATGCTTTTAAAATGCCCTTTCATATCTAAGCATATTCTATTACTACCCCCAAAAGGACTCATTTGACTCCATGGTCAAGTGCATAGGGCCTGGTAGCAAATTGTCCTTCTAGTGTTTGTCTGTAATGAGCCCCCTGATTGGTTTCTCTTTTAGGGTGTCATATGATGGGCACACCTTCTCTGTGTGTGGAGAAAGAGAACTGACCCAGCATGAAAATTGTATCATACCTGTGTCAACCTGCCTGGTGTAACTCAGACACGGGGCTATGTTTCCAGTACTCTGTTAAGATTTGGCTTGTTTCCTTCCAGTTTCCATCCCTCCCCTTCCTTCTTTTTTTTTTTTATCTCTATTTGTCCTATGAAAGCAATTTTTATTCAGTGTAGAATATTTGGAACTTCCAGAAGAATATAAAGAAGAAAATGGGTTTGTTGCAATCCCACTTGGAAGACATGATTGTTGGACAGCTGGTGAAAGTTTGGCATGCTGCAGGCCCTGTTTTGTGTGCGTTATCTGTGTATTAGCTCACTTAATCCTCCCAGCAATCCAGTGAGGCCCCATTAGTGTCCCCATTTTCAGAAAAAGAAACTAAAGGACAGGTTGAATAATTAGCCTAAAATCACCTGGTTTTTTTTTTTTTCCTTTTAAATTCTTTTAATGTTGAAATAATTTCAGATTTGTAAAAATAGAACAAACGATTCCCTTTTACCTTTCATTAGATTCCCCCAAATGTTAACATTTTCTACATTTACTTTATCATTCTCTCTTTATATATATGAGTGTTTATATATATACATTTTTTTTTAACCATTTACGAGTGAGCTGCAGATATGATCTCCTTTTACTCTTAAATACTTCACTGTATTTTTCCTGAAAAAATAAGGGCATTTATCAAAACCAGGAAATTAACATTGATACAGTACTATCATCTAACCTGCAGATCTTATTCAAGTTTTGTCGACTGTCCCTGACTAACATATTTTCCCCAGATCAGGATCAGTCCAGGATCACACATTGCATTTAGTTGTCATGTCTCTTTAGTCTCTTATTACATGTTCAAGTTACAATGAACTGCACTTATGACTCTCTGTTTTGTTTTTTGTACATCTTATCATTAGTAACATGTACTACATACAAAGCTGCAGCGCATAATTTGCCGATGTTATCATTCTCAGATGTTCACATGCAGATGTTCAGTTTTATGATTTACTGTTCAAAATACTGCCCTGTAGCAGGCTATGATCTGGTCTACAGTGAAGTTGATGGTGGTGTTAGAAGTCGTAACGGATAGAAAATTGAGCGATACTCAACTTTCACGACATACGACAGTTGAACTGTGCGTGTACCCAACAGCCATGAAGACTCTGACTTCATTGTTGTGACACCAGGGCCGACTTCATTGTAGACCAGGCCTATAGTGTGATCTTATTCAGTGTTTCGTACCGTAAGAAGCATCAGTTGTTAATTTGAAACCGAGTTGTTCAGGTTTCTCTGACTGTAACACCTGCATGGCTTATACCCCCAACAATATGTCTAGCAAAAGAAGTCACACCACTGAAAGTTCTAATCCAAGAAAGAAGGTTCTAGACATGGAGATAAAGATGATCAGTAAGGCCTCTGATAATGGAAAGAAAGTTGGCGAAATAGCACATGAGGAAGGACGCTCTCATTAGACCATTTCGGCAATCATTAAGGATAAGAATAGGATTTTGGAGGCAGTTAAAGGAGCGATTGGCATAAAATCGACAATTTTAACAAAGAGGCAAGGGCCAGTCCACGAGATGGAGAAGCTCTTGGTGATGTGGGTGGAAGACCAAATCCAGAAGAGAATTCTTATGAGTTTACTGATGGTTCAAACAAAAGCACACAGCCTTTTTTAAAACCTGAAGGAGCAGCAAGGAGAAGACTCCCATGAAGAATTTAATGCCAGCAAGGGCTGGTTTCCTTGCTTCAAACATGAATTTGAGATTTGGCTTACATAACTTGAGTGTAACTGGAGAAGCAGGAAGCACTGATGTTGAAGCTGCAGAAAAATTCAAGGATGAGCTGGACAAGACGGAAGAGGAAGGAGAGAAGTTGTCAAAAACTTTTACAGTGAAAGGGATTAGCTGGAATTTTTTCTAAACTAAATCAGGGGCTTCAGTTGCTTGAAAACATGGACCCGAATCCTGATTGCTTTGCTAAAGTCGATAGGCAGATTCGGGAATCAGTGAGAAGTTACTGCAAAATATATGAATTAAAAAAGAAGAGGACCATACAGACAACTCTCACTAATTTTCTAACTAGAAATGCCATCTCCATTCCTGGGGATAATCCTGATGATCCAGAACCTTCCACAAGTGGAGGTGTTACCACAACTGACAAAATGCCGATGTCACCCCACTCTTCTTCTTCATCAGAGTAAATTTTTATGATTTGTGTATTTTTTAATGTATGTATTAAAATATATCTGTAAGTTTTTATGTAATGTTTCCAACACCCCAAAACAAATAAAGATCAGGTTTATAAAGATATTGATAATAAAAGGTGGTAAGGATGAAAACTAAAAAAAAAAAAAAAAAAAAAAAAGATACTCGACTTATGTTGAATGGGATCCCATTGTATGTCAGGGACTTCCTGTGTAGCCTTCCAACATTTTTTCCTAAAAAACGGGAATTTTAATTGTAGTTTTGTATCCTGCTTTTTTCACTTAATCATGCGTGTTTCCCAATTTTCTCTAATGTTATTTTAAAAAAAGTTAAAAAAAAATTCTACATCCTTATGTTTATCTATATCTTTAACTGTTCTTGTATTGTTGGAATTTAGGTTATTTCTAATTTTTAGCAACAATATTTATAAACATTTGGCAGTGAACATCTTTATACGTGATGTAAGGTGTGAGTTCACTGATTCATCAGGGATTTCTGAACACCAGCTATGGGCTAGGCACTGTGGAGTAGAGTTCAACAAGACAGCATCCTGTACCCCCAAGGAAGTGGCATCTAGTGAGGCAGCTGAGGGCAGAGTCCTGGGCTCCCAGCTTGACCACCCTCTCTGTGGCCCCAGGCATCTGTAACAGGAATCACAGTAGGGTTGTTGGAGGGCTCTTAGTAGGCATTCAGTAAATCCTTTCGAGTCAAATTGAATGAATATTTTTAAGGCTCATGATACAACCCACCAGAGTGCTTTCCAGAATTTTTTTTTACCATTTTACTCTTCCACCAACAGTACGAGGACTCCCAATTTTTTCATTCATTTGAAGAAGGAACTTTAGTAAAGAAAACGTTTTAAATGTCTGGATAGTCTGTGAGTATCAGTGAACTCGTGGTTAACATGCTTGGAGGACTGCACAATGAGAATCTTTTCCAAAGTTCACAAATGCGGGAACACTTGGATGTGTCTTGTCCTGGTGCTTCTTTCTCCTTCACGTGAGCAGTGGAATTGGTCACCTGGGAGACTCCTCCAGTCTGCTCAGTGTTTGTGCAACAGCTCAAGCTGTCAAACCCAGGGCATCCTGGACCATTGAGATTTGGAGCAACTGCTTCTGGAGTGAAAAATGCTGCACCCCCTGGCCAAATTC